GGAAAGGATTTCTTGACTATCCTATTCGATCCGTTTTAGGGATTCACCGCTTGGACTCAGCATGAAAGCATCACGCTTTACAAATAATTTACACGCCAGCTGTTGTATACTATTCCCATTTGGCAGTCTAATAAAAAGTTGAGTCGATTGGCATGGAAAGTATGCTCACTTCCCATGATCATGCCTGCTAACAACGCCCTGACACCGCATGTATTCCTTTCTCGCCTTGGTTAGTCCTCTGTCTGGTTAAGCTGCTTCTCCAATTTGACACTTACTAAAGGCAGGCAGTAACATGGATTTTTATTCATATCCAGCTAAATCTAATTTGTTCACGCCGGGGAATACTGCAATATCTGATGCTCGCTGGATCGAGTCGCAATACATACGATACATGCGGATCTGCTGCGCCAAGTTCATGTTTTCCTCTACCAGTCTCTCTAGGGTCGTCGTATGCAGCTGTTCTCGACAGGAGTCTATCTCGGAGATGATGTGCTCGATGTCTGTTGCTGTCTCATAATCATAGCAGACATAAATACACTGCACTGGTTGTGGTCCGGCCCATTTTTCTTCCTGGTACTAAAGATAGCCGTAATGTGGAAGGGCGCTCAAGACGATTTTAGCATCATTGGGGACGTCTTGCGGTTGGGTAAGAGCCTCGATTTCTCATGTCAATATCCTATAAAACAAACAGTTCAGTTCCTGAAGCACTTTAGTTTACCTCGCGGTATATTTGAACCGGGCTGTCAGTTCTAGTAGTAGAATTGAAGTTGACTCAGTTGAACTGAAGTTTAGTAGATAGTCTGTCTGGAGTGAAGAAGTAGCGTAAAAATACGGTAAATTTAAGTTTATATAGAAGATTTTCGTACGCCTAGACGACTCTTATATATATATCCCTATTGAAGTAAGGCAGGGTCGAGACCCGATTCCACGCCATTGAGGGCGCACCGCTATTTTCAAGTCTAAGTAATATAACCACTCCCGTAGTCATTTGGTCTCTCCAGCGATTTGACATGTCCCGTACCCGCTCAAGTCCAATTCCTGTTCGAAGGGGTCTTCGACAATTGCGCTGTAGCCTCTTGCAATGTCTGGTATATGTAGAATGGGTGAGACTCCATGAGCGAGCCAAACAAATATGCAACTGGACTGTGTCGTATCCCTGTGTCATTCCGCGCTCCTCGGGACGAAGCGCTGGTCAACTTGCTGGCTAACAGCGAGACTGAGAATCTGGACATGGTTGGCGAGGTGGAGAACATGGGCTTGGAAATGGGATGCATGCCGTCGCTTTATAAGAGCATGAGTCTGCAGGGGAGCTGGAACGTTTGCTTTGCTTAACACTCAGACACGTGAAATTTCGGACTGCGTGTTCGGCTAACGAAATGAGATATGCCTATTAAATTATGAAATTCATGCTTGAGAATCTCTCATCTTGGAGAGATGCAGCTTTTCTCGCTTGTTCATAATACTCACCAGCATCATTCCCAGTGCCGAAGATGGTGACTCTTGCTCATTGATCGAGCTGTCAGGGTGTTGTGGATCCGCGGTCTATTGATCGACTGGCGTTCATATTCGGGTGGAAGTGAGACATTGTCGGCATCCCGTCTTCAGTTCCAGGCGAGAACGAGGATATACTGCTACAGGAGTTTCGTTCGATCCAACCTAGGCCATCATTCCTGTCATGGTTGGCCTGAGTAGAAGTATATGTGACCGTGCCAGAAAATGTGTAGTTTCTCGGACACACTAGAGGGATGCGTATGATTAACAGAGTCAAGTCATAAGCATCTCAGCGATGCGGAGAGGCTGCCCTGCGAAAAGTTACTCGGGAGTTTGTGTCTCGATTTTTACGCTACGAAATGTAAAACGCTTCTCTGCGCCACGATTTGCTCTCCCACATCCTGCTTAAAGAACAGTATGAGATTTCTCACGAATATATGAGGAATGTCAGCATCACACCACGAGCTTACGACACCCGCATCGAGCATCCCACGGATCATCAAGTTCTCCTGGCATCATTAGAGACCCCAGAATGGTTCAGCTAGCCTGGGTCACACACGCCATGTTGACCTCCTATTCAGATTTTCAGAATGGTTCTATCTGTAACGCCGGTACATTAGTCTTGACCCTAGACTTTCTCACAGGGCGCACGCAGCATATCGCTGGAGTGCGACAACCCGGCACGGACAGGCTACTGATCTGATTTGGTCATATACGGGATCAAAATCAAGTCCTCCCGCTCGATGATGTCCTGGTCTAGACGGTTCTGATATTGGCGTTGTCGGAACCTAACTTGCCGCTGTAGTATTCATACATGTTCTGCTTCTAAGGCGCGGTCATGCTCCCTCCGACTAACATGTGGGTCGAAAAGGATTATCTAAGCTATATATGGCGTAGTGCAATATGATCCTGCACTAGTACAGACACACCCACGCAAATGAGTCTTGCTCGCGTCTTTGTTTAGCACACCTCCTGTACTGTCTAGGAAGGCTCGAGTTCAGGTGCAGAAACGGCTGGCAGCGACATGAACCTACCAGCAGAGTACAGGTCAACGATCCACCACCTATCAGTCGCTTCTAGCACTGACGTCTCTTTGGCTGCGGTAACACGATGCTTTCCTCGCAAGCATTGTATGGAGAGATGCGATGGCAGCTTCAAGAGGGGAGGTAGTGCGTCTGGATTATCGAGCAGAGTTTCTGATGTGACATGGTCGGTTGCGGTGTATTCAAGTGCACTTTGGAGGTCCTTTGCGTCGATAAGTGCTGGAATATGACGATCAGGTTCTAGACGTCGGCAGCCTTCTAGCTCAAACACCCGCTTCAGCCGGTCGACATTGTGTCGTTGTAGATCGACCAACACTTGTTTCGGAAACTGTAGAGAATCAAGCAAGACTCTTGCCTTTCCTAGGAACTTTGCAGTCCTCTCTTGAAGTATATCGACTTCGTGTCTAGCGATACTATCTTGGTGGGAGCTCTGGGCCATATTGGTCGAGGGATAAGATCTACATGACAGGACTAGTATGAGCCTCCTCAATGAGCGCTTTCGCCGTGAGCCGTGGTTAGGTCATAATCTTACTGAGCGATATATCTATGGTGTATCTCCTGCAAGGATGGTGCAACAGCCTAGAGCGGATCGTGAACGACATGCCTGATCGCTCTCAGGAGACATACACTATACAGGCATGGCCAGCGGACCTAGAAGGCGCGAGTGGCGCGAGTCCCGGAGACAGGTCGAACTGGGACGGACAAGGCTGCTGCTTCGATCCGTCGAATAGAGTTGCTTAACACTTGCAGTGATGAGAGCTACAGGGCGCGCAGGAAGCTCAGTAAGTTCTTGGCAGCCTCGCTTTCGTAGTGAAAGGCCGGAATCCTGACCCCCTCTCTTTAGTCACAGGAAGGACTTACGTACGCATCCCGATTCGAAGATGCATGCTGCTCTAGGTCCCCATGCTCGATATATGTCTTTTCCAGGGCGTTTAAGATACAAACCCAATTTTGGGCTGTGGCCTCAATATATAATCAAACTCTCGGCCCAATCGATACTGGGCCATGTATTGATCTTGACACACCTGCTCTGTTCCCAGGACTTAAGTTCCCAGCTTTCAACTCGCATTAGCCATGAAGACCCGCGTGTATCCCTGGAAGCGCCTCATGCCTGTTGGCCTGGGTGCTGCCGCCTTGGCTTGTCTTCTAGTATCGCTATACGCTGCTACAAATAAGAGAGTGCTTCGCGAGGGCATCGCAATCATCAAGGTAAGACATGTTTTGGCTGACGCGGTGCCCAGCACTGACTCTAAAAC